TAAGTGGAAATAGGGTATTTAAGAAAGGAATTAACACCAGAAAAGATAATTTATTGGTATAAGTTAATTGCTTTTAAACACCTAAAACCAATAATAATCATGTCTTTTGGTATTTCAGATAAATATAGAATAAAATATATGGACATAATAGCAAAATGATTCTGTAGTTTATGGAAAAAGGTTTGAATTTTCTTTGAATTATGATAATTACTGATTTCTGATTAAATGTAATAAAGTGCATATTTTACTGACTAAAACTTATAAATGAATATGTATACAATGCAACGATAGAAGGATAAAATAAAACTACAAATATTTAATCAATTCAAAAAAGGGAAAAATAGAGAAAAATATAAGCAGTAGAGAATGAATTAAGCAGATTAACAAAACAGAAAACAATAGAAAGATAGTAGATTTAACACAAAATATTCAATTATTACCTTAAACATATCTGCATTAACCACTCTATTTAAAAGAAAGTAATTGTCAGACTTGATGACTAGGAAACGGAAGCAATATACATATTTCCTAAAAAGAAATTACTTAATGAAGGACACAAAAATGCTGAAAACTAAAGTATGAAAAAAGATTAAAAAGTCAAATCGGCCAGGAGTGGTGACTCATGCCTGTAATCCCATTACATGCCTGTAATGCCAGCCTCTTTGGGAGGCTGAGGCGGGTGGGTCACCTGAGGTCAGGAGTTCGAGCCCAGCCTGACCAACATGGAGAAACCACGTCTCTACTAAAAATACAAAATTAGCTGGGCGTGGTGGTGCATGCCTATAATTCCAGCTACTCGGGAGGCTGGGACAGGAGAATTGCTTGAACCCGGAAGGAGGAGGTTGCGGTGAGCCAAGATTGCACCATTGCACTCCAGCCTGGGCAACAAGAGCGAAACTCCATCTTAAAAAAAATAAATAAATAAAAGTCAAATCATAACTCAAAGAAAACAAATGTAGATATATAATATCAATCAAATTAAATGTTACAGCAAAATGTATTCTACAGACCAGAATGATTGTTTTCTAATGATAAAACTGTTATTTAACAGAAGGTGTAACCATCCCAAAGAAAATGTGGTATATGTATGCAATTGATTACTATTCAGCCACAAAAAAAGTATAAGAGTCTGTCATTTGCAACAACATGGATAGAACTGGATGACATTACGTTAAGTGAAACAAGCCAGGCACAGAAAAACAAACATCACATGTTCTCACTCATTTGTAGGGGTTAAAAATCAAAACAATTGAACTCATATAGTTAGAATAGAATGATGGTTACCAGAGAGTAGTGAGGTGGGGTAGCAGGGATGGTTAATGGGTATAAAAATATAGTCAAATAGAATAAATTAGATCTATTATTTGATAGCATAGCAGGATGACTACAATCAATAACAATATATCATACATTTAAAAATAACCAAAAGATTATAACTGGAATGTTCGTACCAAAAAGAAATTATAAACACTTGATGTGAATACCCCATTTATCCTGTTGTCATTATTACACATTGTATTTGTATATAAAAATACCTCACGTACCCCATAAATATAAACATCCACTATGTATCCATAAAAATAAAAGTTAAACTTCTTTTTTAAAAAGAGATATAACAGTCCTAAATTTGTGTGTACCTAAAACAATTTCAATATGTATAAAGCAAAATCTTACTGGGCTAAAAAAATTTTAAAAGGCTAACTCAACCATTGTAGTCAGAGATTTTTAACACAATTCTTTCAGTAGATGTATAGATTATTTGAGCAACAAGAATTACAAATCTGACTTAAGTATGTTTTCAGACCCAGATTAAATTAATGTAGAAATCAATAACAAAAATATACATAGAACACCGGCTAATTTTTAAAATTAAACAATATTCACTAACTACTGCATACGACAAAGTAGAAATTACAAAGAAATAAATTGTAAAACTCTAAAGCAGTACATGAGAAAATTTACATAAATTCCCTGTGTCTTCATCTCCCAATATTTCCTTCAAAAAGTATAAAAAAACAAAAAAACGGAAAAATAGAAGTAAACAAAAATTAAGTCTTCAGCATAACTTGAAGAAAAAAAATGCCCACACTTCAAAATGAGCATAAAAGTCAAATAAGCAAACAAATAAAATCCCAAATACCAAATCGTAGAAATAAATCTTTCAAACATTGTCTCACCTCTACTCTAAGGCAACAGTTTATGGTGGGCACAGCAGCCTGAAATAGGCTTTGTATAAGACAGAAGCAAGTCAGTGATGGACCTAAGGTAGATCCCAAAGTCCACTGAAGAAAGTAAGTATACCATTAATACGAAAGTATTTAAACATATTGGAGATCAGTACAAGAACTAAGAGGAAAAGGATCTACAAGTACGTGTGATATAAAAGAGTGATATTCAAAATAGGTTGTTTCTGGGCCACGAAAAATGTCAAAAACAAAAACAGAAATGAGCTTAGGAAATTGTATAGTGACAAGGAAAAGTCAAGGGGACTACCTCATGCTTCTACAAGTAACAGAAGAATCAATGAATTGGAGGTAATAGAATTTCTGCCCGACCACAGTCAAATCCACAGTCTGAACTTTGCTATCATTACATTAAAATACATCAATAAGATAAGATCTTGTAGAACACCCACAAACCACAAAATTAAAAGGACAAAATAGTTATTGCAGAAATAAGATATCAAGATCTAATACAAATCAATTGTGGAAAATTCCCACACAAAATAATAAGCAGAAGAAACTGTAAGAAAATACTCCCCACAGTTAAGTATATTCAAACAAAAATTTAGGAATAAGAAAAAAATCACCTTGAATAAAATAATTCAGAAACTCAGCAAGATAAATACATTTCTCACCCACACACACATACACAAAAAGGAAAAAATAAATAAAGAATTGGTTGAACTTCAAAAAAAACAGAAGAAAAAGACAAAATTATGATGGTCACCAATGAATCAACTAAAACAGCTTAATAATAGGCAGGAAAAAAATGAAGAGAATACAAATGACATAAAGAGAAGTCAGAAAGTCACAGAGAATATTGTGCAGATACAAAGCAGGCAAAGTGTGACTCGCACACCTACAGTGGGAATTCATGAAGAAGAAAACCAAAACAATGTAACAGAACAAATATTCAACTTTATATTCCTAAATAAATACATACATACGTAAGTAAATGCCTTTTCCCAAGGTTGAAAAAAAAACCTGAAATTACATTTTGAAAAAATTTAACAGTGTCTAGAAAAACGGTTACCCAAATTGAACAACTCTGAAATATATACTAAGAAAATACTTCATTTGAAAGGTTTCTTAAAAAATCTTAAATGCTTGCAGGAGGAAAAAAAAAAGATTAAGTAAATTACAAGGACTGAATAACAGACTGGCATTAGACTTTTCAAAAATAACACACAAAGCAAGTTACCAGTGTGATTAGGCTATGAAAGTGAAAAGTCAGTGGAAGAAAACATAAATTGAGGATTTTCTATATAGCCACTAAGCCCTTCAAGTTTCAAATCAATAGAAAAATAATTTTTACATATAACAACTTTCTGAAAAATCTACTAAATAAAGAGCTGACTAAAATAACTTTAGCAAAATAGACCAATGATAAGAATTTTTTTTATTATTATTTAACTTGGATTTTAGGTTCGGGGTTACACATGAAGGTTTGTTACGTAGATGAATTCATGTCATAGGGGTTTGTTGTAAAGATTATTTTATCACCCAGGTATGAAGCCCATTACCCAATAGTTATCTTTTCTGCTCCTCCCCTCCTTCCCACCCTCCACCCAGTGTCTGCTATTCCCTTCTTAGTGTTCATGAATTCCCATCATTTAGCTCCCACTTATAAGTGAGAATGGGTGGTATTTGGTTTTGTGTTCTTGTGTTAGCTTCCTAAAGAATATAGCCTCCAGCATACATTGATAGAGCCCAAAGACTAAAACAAAGATTGGGAAAATGCTGTTAAACAAATTTGCAAATAGTACATATTGTGACAAATATGTAATTAAAAATAATAAAGCAAAGGAGAAGGAAAAAAAGAAAACAGAAAAAGATCATTAATTGTTGTATGGACAGTATGTGGGAGTTAAATAATATCAATAACAACTGAGAATCCTGAATAAAGAGCTAATAAATGAAAGACTAAGGCTATTAAAAGTACGAAGGTAAAACTAGAACAAAAACGTGAAACTTCCAAAATACTAAAATAAACCAAACATTAATTAAATGCAAGAAATTCACTGCCCATATAGATACATAGCAAATACTACTAATATATGATGCCAGGGTTGAGCACAAAATTCTCCCTTTTGTTTCTTTTCCCTATCACCGTTCAGTTTCTTAAACACATTTCTCTCTAGCTTTCTGACATTTTTATATACTCAGAAAAAAACCTGTTTTGAAGACTGTGTTTTCACATCACACATACTTGTAGATGTGTAGGGAAAGAAAGAACCCTAGCAAAATAAGAAGAGAATGTAACAAAAAAAAAGAAAAAAACTGTCCTTAAAAAAGACGTTTAAGCAAACATCATACCTACTAGGGAAATAGGGATTGCTTTACCAGGTATCAGAAACAATTTGAGACTATTCAACATTATACTCTAGTCTTACCCAGTGCAATATGGCATGAAAAATTATAATTTTGGAAATGAGAATGTAAAATATTCATTATTTGTAAAAATGGTCATTATTCTATATCTTATCTTTCAAATATTAGCTCTTTTATGAAGTATTTCTCAGTCTTAGGCAGTTTTATCAAAACTCTGTCAGATATTGTTGTAGCAGTTGGAAAATAATTACATTTTTTTTCGTTCTTCTTATTTCAGACTGTGAACTCCTCAAAACATTAGTGACCATTCCAACCAATAATCCTCAAATTCAGCAGATTTTCTGACATACACCACACACTCAAAGAATAAGAAAAAATGATTAAAATAGTACCAGTAATGATATGTTTAATAGTCATCAAATTCCCAGAATGGTAACTCAAACTTACCTCCTATATCTGGACGAAGTTTATTGTCATAGCCTTGAAGCAATGAATTCAGAATTTGTGTGATATCTCCTTCATGAATTTTTGGAGCCAAGACCCAGGTTTTGTTCACTGTTAAATCCTCATCATCTTCATCATCTGCCTTATCAACACTAAATAATTCAAAGAAAAAATGGATGGTAGAAAGTTCATTCAAATCATGTATGAAAGTATAGTTTAAGGATATTAGAATTGAGTAGGAAAGTCATAATGGCAGACAAAAAGGTATTACACAATAACATTATATTTAGTAAGACCAACACATTTGTCATACAAAGTGCCCTGACATAATACTCAAAAAATGAGAATTCTGTGCCAGAAATACACAATATTAAAATAATAAAACACATTTTTAGCACTCCCACAACTGTCATTAACATTCATAAAAACTATTCCCCCAAAATATGACTGGTGTCCCCTAAATTTGCATAGCGTACAATCTGTACACCCATATGTGGTGACCTTAAACCATCACAACCAAAATAAAAATTAAAAGGTAAAGAGTTACAGGAAAAGATGTAATAATTAGTCTGGTAAAATGTATAGAAAATGGATGGGTAGAAAAGAAGACTTAAGAAAAATTGAGTAAAGACAGGTTTGAATAAAAAGGAAAACATTGTTGTACATACTGTTGCTCATTTCTTTTAAGTCGGAAGAACCCAGCCATCTTTTTCCAAGAACTTTGTCAAAGATTTTATGATCATCAAATTATCAATAGGTGACTCATCTTGCACATATATTTGGGAGGAAGCATAACTATCACATTTTACTAGAAGTGATAAACATCTCGGACTGGCCTGTTCTCTTGTATTCAAATGCTTGATGTATTTCTTAGCAATTCAAATCAGCTTGATAGGTTAAGGATAAAACGAGTGGGGGCTATATTTGCTAAGGTGTTTAGATTCAAAGCAAAAGAGTTCTGAATAGGTACTGTAGAAAGCATTAGGTATTTACTGCTAGAGGGAAGCACATCTTTGAAATATATGCGAATAACCTGGAAAATTACAGATTTACTTGATTTTACCAATGTTATTTTTATAAATGAGAAAACCAAAGACCACAGAAAAATAGCAAAAACACAAATCTGTTTATCAGCAAAACTGAGACTCAAGTATTACCTCTCCAACGATTGCTTTCTTATACACCTGTGTGCTTAAAAGTGAAAAGATTCAGCTGACTTCTGAATTATGATAGAAACATCCAGTAATAAAGGAATTCATCAAAAGTAATAAATTACTCTTCTCTTTATTGCCCATATGTAACTCCATCTTCATTTGAGTAAGGTCATTCTAGACTTAACAACACACCTATTTTAGGAAATCTCTCATTCTCCAGTGAAAAGGGGTCCGAAAAACTAAACACTAACACTGGTAAAATCAAGTAAATCTGTAATTTTCCAGGTTATTCGCATATATTTCAAAGATGTGCTTCCCTCTAGCAGTAAATACCTAATGCTTTCTACAGTACCTATTCAGAACTCTTTTGCTTTGAATCTAAACACCTTAGCAAATATAGCCCCCCACTCGTTTTATCCTTAACCTATCAAGCTGATTTGAATTGCTAAGAAATACATCAAGCATTTGAATACAAGAGAACAGGCCAGTCCGAGATGTTTATGTTGGACTACCCTGGCCTTAAGAGAAGTGTTATTACTTTTGATTGCCACCTCTTTGGTATTTTTTTAGTGCTGTCCTCTCATTTTGTGAAAGAAAGTGGAGTGGTCAAACAAATCCTGAATTCTCAGTTCCATTTCCCAGATATCAGCTGTAACAACCTGGGTATCACATCTGCTTTGTTGGCTATCTGTGCGATGGTTGGTGGACTTCATTGTATCATCAGATTCACATTGCCCTCTATTTGCTTTTTGTGAAGATGTTTTTGTTAAGATGCTTATGCAGATGCTTGTGAAGTTAAAATCTTTATATTGACATAAAAAATTTTATGAGATTTTAACAGCATAAATTAAAATTTTACTTTCAAAGAATTTACTATATTATTTCATCTTTATAATAATTATATTAATAGTTATCTTCCACAGATTAATAACTGTACTATTAACAATGTTTCTCCTCTTCTTGTGAAATAATTATGCTTGTCACCCCACTAACTTTTAACTTTCCTGTAATCGGTAATAATCCTTCCTGCAGGAGGATTATACATTCCTGTCCTGTTGAACTCAGGTCTCACCCTGTGATTGATTTGGGCTAATGGTATATAACTGACATGCATCACTCCCAAGCAGTGGGTTTAATAGCAGTGAAGTTTATTACATCTCTCTTGTCCTTCTGCCAGGTGATACTCAGTCATACTCAGAGGCTACTCCATTACTTCACTCTCAGAGTGAAGGTGACATGGACAGAGCCACAGCTGAACTAAAATGGACATGTAATCTGAGTGAGACATAAACATTTAGGGTTGGAAGCCACTGGGATTTGGAAGTAGTTTGTTACCACAGCACAACCTAATGTGTCTTGGCAGATAGCCTCCGGATGGTCAATTTTATTTGTAATGCTTTGAGAATACAAATCGAGAGATGTTAAGTAACGTATGCCTCAGTTCCGCTATTCCAAATCTCAGCAGTTTCTCCCACCACCAACACCTTAGTTAAACAATCTTAGCAAAATCTCTGCCAAAACAATTCTGGCCCCCTCAAGTAAATATATCACTAAAGCACATAGAATGTGCTATTTACGCAACCTCAAGAAAGCTTTCTAGTAGTCAGAGGCCAGCTCTCAGACCCCAAACCCTATGGTCCTTCTATTACCATATTGCATTACTTTGCAAATGAAGAAAAACTCTGTAAGAAGTGGATTAACTTGGTAAAATCAAGTAAACTCTGTAATTTTCCAGTTATTCACATATAATTCAAAGATATGTTTCCCTCTAGCAGTAAATACCTAATGCTTTCTACAGTATTTATTCAGAACTGGGATTCTGATACCTGGTAGAACTGGCGCTACTCTGGTGGAACTGGGGCTCTGATACCTACACTACACAATGAGCACACTATAATATTGTTTTCAATTTGAGATACACTTATATATGAGTAAAAATGCTTTGAGCTTGTACTTCTAAGGATGCATTATTATAAAGTAATTACAAAACTTCACTTATAACCCTATATAGATTCCTGGAGAACAGATCAGTTAACATATTTTTACTTAAGTACATCATTACAGTAATTATTTTGCTCTACTAAACTTGTGTATAGTATAGAAATGTTGTTATATTATTTCCTTCCAATAATTTCCTATTATTTTCTCTAAGTAAATGAGTACATATAAGCTGAGGAATTAGAAATACTGAGTTGTCACATATTCTCACTTATAAGTTGGAGCTAAATGATGAGAACACATGGACAAATGGAGAGGAACAACACACACTGTGGCATATCAGAGTGGGGAGGGTGGGAGGAGGGAGAGGATCAGGAAAAATAACTAATGGGGCCTGGGCTTAATACCTGGGTGATGAAATAATCTGTAAAACAAGCCACTATGACACAAGTTTATCTAACAAATCCTTACATGTACCCCTGAACTTAAAATAAAAGTAAAAAAAACCTGAAGTATTAAGAATCCCTGTTGGTGTGTGCTTCTGGAATGTTTGATTTCCTAATTGGACTTGTTGAGATATTGGCAATAACTTAAATTTTAGGTTTTCATTCACCTCCAAATTTCAGTTTTATGGAATGAAATATCTAGTAGGTATGGCAAACCACTGCACATATAAGCAGTTGATCTTTCCTTGAATAACGATTGAATCAAGTGGAAGATTTTAGAAAAAAAACAAAAGCCTTTTCTGTTTTTTTTTTTAATACTAGCAATATTTTGGTAATCTAAGATCCACATGCTGATAGTAATTTATATTGCCCTCTTCTCAGGCAGTAGAGAATATGAAAATTGACCTCAATAATACTACAAAGTTATCTTTCCTCAGTTTTGACAATAACATAAGAGAAATTTCATTATAGATAATTTATCTACATCTTTTCTCTAAGCTATCTAAGTTATGTTCAGAATATTCATGAATTACTTTCAATATTACATTGGCGTTATTTTGGTGATTGAAAAGTACATCATAATTTTAAAAACATAGTACTTACAGTGTGTTTGATGTCCTGATTTTTTTTGGAAGCTGGGAGATTTTTGCAGCAGTTACACGTTTTGGATAACTATTTATTTGGAAAAAACAGGTATGATTTTTTAAAAAATAATAATTTGAGAATTTCTTAAAAATTAATATACCTACCTTAAAATGAGAAAATATAAGATTATAGAATTTCCAGGACACACAACTATTAAACAATAGACTCATAATTTAAAATAATGCTGATTTAATTTGAAGACATATTTTCTGCTTCCTTAAAGTTTTCCTGGCACAATGTATACTTTTATTGAATAATCTAGGGTGATTCAGTTTTGAATTTCCTAATTCACAAGACCACAACAAAACCTATAGTACATAGTCAGCAGACACATTTGGATTGTATGTGGCTAGGGTAGTCTCAGCTCTTGACTCCTGAGAAGGTAGAATAATAAACTCAAGGAGTTGCACACTGTATGACAAAAAGAGCACTGTGATATCAATCTCTGACCCAGTGTTTTTATCCATCTGTAGAGATAATACCGGGTACTAAAAATGTGCCAAGTGCTAGGACTACAAAGACAAATGAAATTATAATCTTGATCTAGATGGTCTCATTTTCTAATAAAGGAGAAAACATTTTCAATCAAATGACACAGAAAAGCATCAGACATTAAGATGCTTATCATAGTATTATCTATGATTGTACAATTTTTTTAACAATAAAAGCATGTTTAAATCACGATTTCTCAACAAAAAATACACACCTATTGTTTGTTGAGAGTCTGTAAAAACATCAAATTATTTTCATAATTTAATATTACATGAAAAATAACAGAAAACAATTTGTTTTAATTGTCATCTATGTATAAAGTGGCTTAAAAGATTTGATGGAAAAATAGAATAATGTATACACTCAATATTCTATACTAGTGAGACCATATAATTTTTTTGTATGTTAATAGTATCTGGAAATCTTCATGTACACATTGTATAACATAAATATGTGAAAAAGAGTTAATTTGACGTG